AGGGCGAGTCAGGGCGAATGATTCAGCAAACAGTTCACAAATGGTTCAAAAATGTTTGTTTCTCATCTAAACCATCGGAACTTGCTGAATCATTGCAGAATGTGAACTGTCATTGAACAACAATGGCAACAGGTGTGGAAGTGCGTCATGTTCTGTTCATGACGCCGTCGTTATTTCGACCTTGGACCATTGTTTCATGTTTTCTCTTTTTTTATTTTATTTACTGTTCATCCCGAGCACGTTACTAAAGATTCGAGAGTTGGCGCAGAGTTTTATCTTGTCAGGATACTTGATTTCGAAATCGCCGGCAGCTGTGCAAGCGCTCAGAAAGAATGATTTCCCACGCCTCTTCGACGCCCAGGCCGCACGACCTTGAAGGATTTGGACTCGGGATCTTTTTTATTGGTTCGTTTGTGTTTAGTCTTTTCACGTTTATTGTGTTTTCTTTGTTTTTTGTATTTTTATTAGATCCTTACCTTCTTGGAGCTTGACTGGACGGCTGGACGGTAGGGTAGAGCATCGATGCAAGGGATGTCCGCACTGAGGGCAGCAGTGACACACGTCAATAGACCTCTCCCTTCATTGTACGTTCCCCGAGTCATTCCCAGTCCGAAGGAATAGTCGAGAGAGGGCGAAGGTGAAGTTATATTTTTATATTTTCAGTTTATTGTCTATTTTTAGAAACTTCTTTTATCTTGGTCAGGCAGCACGCGAGTACGTGCGATGCCTTGTGATTTTACGTTCTGTATAAAAGACGCCTTCAGGTTTTTTTAATGTCACTTCTTTCCCCCCCACCTTTGTTACTCTCCAAGAACTTTAAGAGCTTAAGTCTTTCCCCTGCCGGCGTACCATCGCCTCTCTCTCAAGTCGACCTTCTACGTTATCGAAAACTTCAAGAACGAACCCTTACGCAAACAAGAACTCTCGTCACGCATATAGTCAACCAGGAAAACATTCCCATTTCGACGTGTATAGCCCTCTCTATCGACGCGTATTCACACGCTTAGCCGCTGAGTTCCTTTTTCATCACTCCTTG